GACTGGACAGCCTATCTTTATACCAGAGTTACTTTATGCTAACAGAACTGTTTCACATCTGTGAAGTTTCTAAATCAATTTAGCTAGATTGGTGCCAAAAGCTGCATGAATAGTTTTTCTCATTTAAAAAAAAAAAAATTAAAATATATAATTTTGAATTATTCAAATGAGACAGAAAATATCAGTTAAATTAAAACAACCCACAGGTCTATGGCTGAATAATCTCGAAGAAAACACTTTAATCCACAACTAACTTTTCCTCATATCTCAGTGATGTCAAAAACTGATTATATCATTCTTGACTCTCCTCTCCTTTCCTACTAAATGTAGACTTCATTAGGAGAAATAAATGAGAAAATATTATTCCAGTTAATTAAGTTATTCTGAAAAGGAAAGGAATATAAATTCATACACGGAAAAAAATCTACTTAACAAAATAAGAGCATAAACTAGCAATTCACAAGAAAAACACTTTCTCCACTGCATCTGTTCAATTCTTTAATATTAATATTTGAGATTTCTGTAGGTAAGGAAGAGAAGTATGGTCCTTTTATCTGTGATTTGACCTCTTCAGCAAGTTTGGGATCTCTCTTGTTCAGATACAAATACTAATACTCTTACGCTTTGATTTTTGTGTGGATCGCTTTTATAGCTTTATTGCTGTCAGAACCCTGTTAACATCCAGACTCTACAAAATACCCATGAAATCTGTATTTAGGTGTTACGTGTTTGTTTTTTTTTTTTTATTTTTTGTCATGTACCCCCTGAAGACAAGAGCTGAGATATTAGCCTTTGGCTCAAGATATTTCTTGCCCTTATTCCCCTCAACCTCAAACTTCTACTTTTATTCACATCTGAACCCTACTGGGTAAATAGAAAAAAAAGGAACAGAGGGAAAAATCCTTAAATATGCATTCTCTTTCTCTACATATTTAATGATCAAAGTACTGTTTACCAAAGAAGCAAAAAGAAAGTCAGTAAAATCTAAATTGCTCAATCTGTAAATGAAACATGTATCCTGTCTTCTCAAAAGCTACTACTTACCAATGCCAGCTCTAATTTAGAAGTATTTGTTTTAATTAATCAATTTAAATAATCCCTTACAGCAACTTTGCAGTACATTCAGAAATCGTCTTCGGAAAGCCGGTTTTTTACAAAGTGCGCATGGAAGGAAGAGGTCCCAGCACTTGCCATGGCCAAATGGTGATGACTCAGGCTTGCAGAAGAGAATGGAAATGTGTGCTGAGTGAGACAGCCAGCGCCTGTAGCCCACAGGGATGTGGAAAGGGGACTGTCACAGATGCATTACTTTAGGGATGACCACAATTGTATGATTTGGCCCCTAATGGCTGGTTTATTCTCAACCAGTTCAGAGACATGAGAGGTTATTAGGAAGAAGCTGCACACAAGGTATAAAAGCACTCTGAAGGAGACTGATTTATCCTAGTAGGAGGAAATCATCTTGTGCAAACCTAAATTTAAGTTTATGGTTTAATCACAACTTGGCTCTGTGGTTTTGCTTGTTCAGAAGAACGAGCTATATAATCTCTTAGTTCTTTGACACCACCAAGAATTAGCAGTCCTCAGACATCTGTTTTTTTGAAGAACTGATGCTAAGGAAATAGATACATTATTACCTGGAGCACCATTTGCCCAACAAGCAGGTGTTAAACACCTTGGCTTAAAGGACGTGGTGCTGGCTGTCAGAACCAACTGCAGTATCGATATCAGGAAAGAACTTCAGTTCACCCTTGGCTTCCAGCTCGGATGGCAGTTGTTCAGTGGGGCAGTCAGACACGGGATCTGTTCATTGTGAGGTGGTCATGGTCAGACACTTGGCCTTATCAAGGTCAGAAGAGATGACCAGCAAGCAACCTACCCTCTCTCCTGCCACTACAGGTGGGGAACAGGGGAATAATATGGTTGCACAGCTGCTGTTGCTCCCCTCAGGACTGGCCTAAGAGGTTTCATACTGGCCTCACATGACTCCTCCACAAAAGCTGATGCCTTGCAGGCATGTGAGGTACTGGAAACACAAAGAGGCAAGGACATGATCTCCCAGAGCTGTCTGCAGCCATTACCCTTATTTTTTATTCCAGCTGGAACCGATGCAACAGTCCCTTGAGTAAGAGAAAAGTTGCTCACTACTGTTACAGTGGTGGAGGACATATATTCATAGGAGCTCCCCAAAAAGATGCAGGTTAAGCTATAGCTTAGAGCTCTGCCTATGACCTGTGAGGCATGGTCTCAGGCATGGGAAAGAAGACAAGGGAGAGCAAAACTACCTGGGGTTATTGGAGCAGCATGAGGAATATCTCACTCCAGGCATCTTGCAGAGGCAGCGAGTGACCCCATGGACAGCCAGACTTCTTTTCCAATAGCTTGGTACTTCTGCCTTACTGCAAACCCTTTTTAAGAGCATGTCTGGATTGGTACCAGAGCACTAAACATCTCACAGAACTGAGCTCTCTCTGCATTAAAAAAATCATTCAGCTTTTTTGTAGTTGATGGAAACAACAATGAGAAATCCAGGACACAGGCTATCAGATAAGACAAATCCCCACACTTTTGCTACAGGGCAGCAACCCTGTGGAAAAAAGGCTGAAAGATCTCTGTCCTTTTTTTTTATTTAGGACTACAATATATACATTTAAAATGCTCAGTGAACAACCACGAAGTTCACCTGCTCAGCTGTAGTTGCAAAGGAGAGGACACACTGATAACAACCTGTTTTCTTTTTCAGCCTAATTTGGAACTGACCATCAGTGCTCTTGTGTAAACATCAAAATCTGGGTCAATTAACCTCATGTATGACAACAGATAATAACATCTGCCCAGTGCTGTAACTGATCTGTACCACTTTCCACAGAGTATTTGCGTCTCATTTCCCACTCTGCCTCACCACCATTTCAGTCCTTTGGCCCTGGGCCCCCGATCATCTCCTTGTACAACACAGAGGACACTCATCCATTACATATGTGGTATGACAACAGATTGTGTAGCTTGGTTAAATCTTTTCTAAAAAATAATTCTTTGAGAGGAAGACAATGCCAAATCTTTGCCTCACTGACAGATGACCCAACCCTATAACTGATTTTAGCAAAGACAATCACTGATCTTTCACCATACCTTATATATAAAAATACGGATTTTGGCTTACTGCATACACACAGACAAAAGAGGGAAAGAACTTTATGAAAGGACAATAACCTGCTTGATATCAGAAGCTATTTTTAAATTTACACAATAAAAGATACAAACTCCTGGTCATCTTCCTCTCCTAAATATTTAATATTCTCTGCCTCGAAAAACAATTTAGATTTTCCATTTCCCTGAATATCTCCATTAAAATCTCCAGCAGTTTGCTAATTCCACATACCTTGTACACAACACAGAGATTCTGTTTCCTGAGCTAATCTGTTTGTCAGATAGCTTGTTTTCAAACAATTAGCTACATCAGGATTTCTCTGAGGTAAATCAGTTGCTAATAGCTTTGGATCAGCCTGATATGAGCTTCAGCATGATAACACACTTCTCAAAAGAAATCACAAAAAATGGCCAGTAGCTGTTACAGTAAGCTTCTCAAAAATAAATTACAGTTGCCATACCATGTAGCCCTTTGATTAGCATTTTGTTCATCCTTTACCATATCAGTATATTCTCCCAAAATAGAACGAGACAGACATGCTCCATTTACTTGTCTTTGGTAAGTTGTAATTCCTTGAAAAACCTCTTTGAAGTTGCTGCTTATCAATGTGGGGAAGACTGGCAAAGTCTGGCCCAGTCTCAATGTAAGCAAGCTTAAATAAAGAAAAAGGCAAATAAAACAGAAAAAGAAAAAGCAAATAAAACCATATGCTTATTACAATAACAGAACACTTCATGCAACCTATATTGCATAACCAGTCCAGGTCAGTCTTACACGATTTATAAACTTTGACCATGCTACTTTTGGACAAGGAAAAAAAGCAGTACTTATGAGACAAGTGCCAAGTCTAAGCAAAAGCTGTCTTTTCTGAATCTACAGTGTAAAGTCTTCTATACTTTCCATGAGTTTGTCCAAATACTGTATTTCCTCTTTTAAGAAAAAAATTTTAGAAGCAAATTTAGTAAGGCTGCAGGAACCACATGCCAGTGAAAAAAATAATTGAAATATTTCCCCTATTTCATGAAGTGATCCCTGAAGAGAAGCCACCCACCTCTAAAATGAAGAGGGAGCCATGGCAATGGTGGTAGATTTGTTCACCACACGTGAACCAAGCATACAGTATGCACTGGAGGTTAAGAAAATTGGTTAGAATCAATCCAGTTATCACAGCTCTGACAATCACGACTGACAATTTTAATTCTTTGATTAAGGCAACTGCAAAGGTAGTGTGTTAACTCTTACATGTTTTCATTTTGTGAAATATTTATAAACTAATACAAGCACTTGACTTCTCACAAGTAATCTCATGACTAAGTTTTGAATAAAATTATTACAATGCCCCTCATTTAATGTTTTCAAGCAATTACTTGCAACTACATTATCAGTTGAAGGCCATTAACATTTACCCACTGCTGCTAGCCATCCTGGTGACAAATTTAATTATTTTGTGATGATCAGTCCAAGAAAAGTTATGACTTATTCCCCCTAGTGATTTTACGTAAAAGTTTTATGAGCCCATGAAAGGAATTGCAGGAAGTCTGGACATTTTTCTCAGTAGCCATATGAATTTGCTTCTGTGCTCACTGCAGAAGAGCTGATTTATCAGTACGACCAAGAGTGTTGCATGGGGGGCAGCATGTGCCTCTGAAGGTCAGCTATATGCACTGAAAGCATCTTTAAATACACACAGAAAATTTCTGTGTATGGATCAGAAGGTAAAACTAAGGCTATGCTTACACTGAAGACAATCACATTAATACCACGCTGTTTGCTTTTCCCAAACAAGGTATCACTATTGCATGGCCCTGCACTCACAGAGAGGAGACGCAGTTCAAGGATTAACAATATATAATTTTTTTAAAACATTTTATCTCTTTTTATTTGTTTTTCCTGATGGTTGCTACAAGCAAAGGAGGTATTCAAAAATGTAACTGCACAACACAAACACAGGCAGCAAACTAAGTTGGTGGCATGAAAGGTGTATCTGAGAACACAGAGTTGACAGAATCAGAGTCGGATTTTGTTCGAGTAGTTTTTAAGATACTCTCAGTAATGATGCTGTCATTAGGAAACAGTTTTACTTTCCCATTCTGACTGTGCTTTGGTTCATGCACAGGTTCCAGAAAAGCCACTCGTTTACCAGTGCTAGCCTTCTTCTCGTCTGCTGGCATTGTAGAATTCAGCTCTTGCGGCACTGCAGAATTCAGTATAGAAGAGTGGGCACTGCCTTGGTTCAGCTTCCTCTTCTTTTTTTTGGCCTTACATTGACATGGGCAGGGGGTCAGATAGAGATACAGCAATACTAAAATAATACTGGCCACACAGGCAGCAAGGGTGGTAAAAGCTGTATTAAATGCTTCATGAGCATGGGACCTGTTCATTGTGAAATTGCTAACATTTATTCTAACCTCTATGGTTTCATTTAATAATCTTTTCTTATTTATTGCAATGCAGGAATACAGCCCTGAGTTCTCTAGCTGGGCATCTGTTATCTCCAGGCTGCCATTAGGAAACACCTTAAAGTTATTGGTCTCCCTGTCTGGCTCCAGCAATCTATTGTCTGGACTAACCCAAACAAAGTGTGTGCCCACATCACTGATTCTGCTGTCACAGTGTACAATCAGCCTGTCACCAACTTGGGCATCGTGAATAAACCCAAAGGCTTGGAAAGAGCTGTTGACAGTGCTTTCAGAGCAATTCAGAAAGTTGTCGAGCAGTAAAGGCAGTTTATTGTGACCTTTTGGGTCTGATTGCAACAAACAGCTGTACTCATTTTTGAAGTCCACCACTGAGCTGAACTGCCTTTGATACCAGAAGATTAGCATGGAGTACAGGAGGCAGTCACAATAAAATGGGTTGCCATGAAGATAAATTCCACTAAGTTGTTTAGCTGGCACTGAACTCAAGCGCTGAATAGGCATTAACCGGATGCGATTAAAGGAAACGTCCAGCAACGCCAGGTCTGTCAGTTTATGTTTTCCAACATATAAGTCCAGTGGGAAATTTGAGAGCAAGTTGTAGCTTAAGTATAGTTTCTGTAAATTGTACAATCCTCCAAACGCTAAAGAGTCAATCTGCGTTATCTGATTGTTGTACAGCAGGAGAACCTCCAGTGCCTTTAGCTCCTGAAACACAGGGCTGCCCAGTGTCTTCAGGCTGTTGGACGACAAGTCTAGGTACTTCAGATTTGGAGTTGTAGAAAAGCTTCCAGTGATAATGCTGCTAATGCTATTATGATCGACTATTAAAGTGTTCAGTTTCTCAAATAACACTGGGACCCATTCAGGCTCCAAGAGCCCAATTTTGTTATAACTCAGATCCAGCCTTTTCATACATTTATAAAGATTTCCTGGCACTCGACTGAGGTTCTTATTGGTGCAGCTTATGATATCACTGGCACAGATGCAGGCTGTCGGACACATCCCTGGGGTACTGCCACAAATGCTCACTGTGAAGACCAAGAGGCATGTGAGTCCTTTGCAGTTCACTTTAAAAACTCCAAGTCGAGTAGGAATCCTCCTCCTGTTTAAAGACATTGTCACTGTCTCTTAGCTCTCTCCCAGTGCTCCTTGCCACAGATTATTTGTGCACTTAGTTTTGCACCAGCTGCTGTCAAAAGAGGGATACAGAGGTACAGCATGTTAACATTTACCATTCATACCCTGACTGATTATCTTACGCGTGCTTTTTGAAAAATACAGGGAATTAATCCTTAATGTTTCACATAGTTAATTGTAAAATATAATTCTTAGGTAATGTAAGCGTAACATTGGCTTTATAAAAACATGAAATTCTACATTCATGTGTAAAAATATACATTATAGATGCAGTATTTTTTGTCTTCAAAAAGAATGCTACCATTCTTCAGTCTAGGACCAGGTAATGCAATTCCTGACAGTTCATTTAAAAAAAAAAAAATCAGAAATATTCCTCTGTGGAACATAACTTGGTAATAGTATTCACTACCTGTTTCCAAACCAGCACAGATAGAAAATTCCCAGCATAGGAAAGAAAAAGCCTTGTCCAAAAATGTTATTTTCTTGTCTAGTAGGAAGCAGTTATAATGTGTTTCTTTATGATCAGAAAATGTCACACATTTTCAAGAAAAGAATTTTCTCAGACTTCCTAGCTTTAAATGTCATATGAATTTTTTTTTTTTTAATTCAGTAACTTACAGTTAATGTATCAGCCTATTTATAAAGTTATTAAAGATGTTTAATAAGAATATTTTGTATTCTACATTTTTCTATTTGGCTACTTCTACCTTTGTCAATAAGTGTTGAGGAAGAATTTTTCTATGCCTGGTGCATACTTCAGGCACACGTTTTGGGAACTTTCAGTAAGAATGAGTCAGCTGTTTCTCAAAACTTAGTAAAAGAAAAAAAATATTTTGCTTATATGTAAATAGTAAGAAAAACCCCAACCATACTCTTTTCTGAGACTATTTTAGAGTCACTGTGGTTTGAAGTAGGGACATAACATTTGGCACAATAGTGACTCTGTGCTAAGGGTCATGCTTTTTGCCATCTTCTAAGAAAATGTACACATACCTAGCAGAGCAATGTTCTCTCTTACTCTCCCTGGATACCTGTCAGCAAATTCACAGGTAAGTTCATCTGCATTGATTATCATCACCCCTTCAGAGCTCAGACATGGTATTTAGCTCCCACATACCCTCATACTCCAATCATTTCTCCAATCTCACCCACCTGTTGGAGCAGTATCTGAGCAGGATGAACTCTGTAATGTCTGCTCTGAGCTGCTGATAGTAGCTGTGGCCAGGAGCTGGGAGGCTTCCTGTGAACAGTGGGAGGAGGAGAAAAAAAGAATCCTCAGATGGAAAGAAGTAGAATAAAAAGAGACACTGTGTTCTCTGATGATGCAGGATGGATGAAGAAAAGATGAGTCTTGAGGACAAAGACATTAAAATCAAGACCTAAATGGTGGAGGGTAGCAGGGCAGAGAGAGTCAAAGAAAGAGAGAGAGAAAAGAAGAGATACGTAGGGAAGGAAGTGTAAAACCAGGGGAGGTGGATGCTAATGGAGCATCGTCACTGTTACTAATGCAGCAACTGAGGAGGAGATAGTTTTAAGGATGCAGAAGTCAGTCAAAGCATATGAGACTGGAAAAGCAGATGAGGAGGGTGTAAAGAGGACTAAGCAAAAGAGAGGCAAGAGTTTCAGGTGAACCTTGGAACACATTTCTCCAGAGAATTTATATCTGCTACTTATGAACCTAAAATTACCTATGCAATTTATTAATATATGCAAAATGCAAACGTTTCCACTCCCCCTCAGCTCTTTATTTCCCTCACCTCTAACCCTCTGCCAATCTGGTAGGCTGCTCAGTAGCTGGCAGGCTACTCTTAAGTCAAGTGGTAGAAGATGTGCTATGAAACTAAAGAGCTGAACCTTCTAATGACCCATTAAAAGAAGAAATATAGAGGCAGCAGGATGGGAGAATTCACCTTTCGCAACAATTTATATACACACTGGCTTTAGATGTTTGCATTCCCAAAAAACCACCAAGAGACTGCCAAATCAAGTGTTCAAAAATTAAGGCATCAGAATTAAGGTTTCCTTGCCATTTTTTATTTTTATATACAGTCTTTGGTTACATGATTGCTAAATTTTCCTCCAAAACCTTTCCTCACACTATGCACAGGTTTTGAGGAAGAACAGGAAAAGAAGGGGTGATTACATCAGGAGCTCAGTAAATGCCTACATCTGAGAACTGAAGCACATCCTAGCCTCTGCCACAAAATTCCTGTGAGATCAGGCAAATTATGTAAACTGGTGACTGTTAGAAAATAATGAACACATTATAAGCACCAACTTGGAACTTAGAAAATAAGGAACGTCTGTGTGTTAAGTTTGGGAAGTACTGATCTGAAGAAATGCTAAAATGAGTCAGAATGCATCACTCTAGCTGGCACTTCTGACTGCAAAGGCCTCTCCTTGCTTCCCTGTCTATACAAGGGATATAGCAACATGATCTTACCTATAGAAATATTGGAAAAATAAACTAATTGGTTTAAATGAAAGCTTAATATCAAGATTCATAAACTCTTCTAGGCTTTTACAGCCTACTGAAGCTTCTAACTGCATGGGAAGTTAAGAACCCAGAGGAATATTTTTTCTAAACATGTCATTTAGTTAGTCTACTGTATGAAGCAAGGCATTTGAAAACCACATACCATAAAATCATGTGTGTGAAGACTGAATTATAAAGTATCTACAAAATGGGAGACGAGCTGCTGTTGCATAGGCTGCCTTCCCAATAACATTTGAATGCCTGATTCTGCAAGCTATGCAGCCTAATTTTTAATATAACTGCACTTGGAACAAGATGAACAGCACTTTCAAAAATCAGTTCCCATGTTGAATATAACTGCGGCCCTGGAGATACTTCAAATGGGACATCCTAGGTCAATGCTCAGGTTTGGAAGGGTTACCAAGTTTAAAACACTAGATAACCTTGCATGTTTGCTTCTGCCTACAACTATTCCAGAACTAATCTGCAATCAAATCCCATGGGCAGTGTGTAGTGTAAATCAACATAATACCTTTGAGTTCAAAGGAGCAAAAAAATCTTGCAAGGGCTGAAAACTGGGTTGTCCATTTTCAAAGCTTGTTGAAGTTGAAAAATGAAAACTGTTTCAGATAACTTGCCTTGCCTGGCAGGGAAAATCCAAATTATAGACACTCTAGACATACCATAGGACACACAAGGCTATTTAGAGAGTACACTGAAGAGCAGAAGCATTCCTTGCCATGCCCAACTCACAGTGCAGTGCCTACATTCCCAACAGTTTCCTGCCCTTTTGGAGGGTAGGACTGTTGAGTTGCAACTTGCTCTTCAACCTATGTTCCTCGAATCTTCTACCCAGGTTACCCAGGATGGTCTGCAAAGCCAACATGATCAATATAAATATTTATAACCTATGTGGTCATTTGAACTTACTTTGCATAAACATTTCTGGGTAGTAACGCGTATGTGTTAAGTGGAAAGGAAGCACAAAGCCAACAATTAGCCCTATATTAAAAAGTGGCATTCTTTTCACCCCAGTCACATTACTTCAGGTCTTAGAAAAGTCCTATTTTACAAATTTCAATATTGTATATTTTCTCAAGAGAGATATTACTATTGAATACTATCAGCTAACAGGTGCCAACAGACTCTGGCCAAGTACTTCACCACTATTTCTGAATAAGCTGGGTAAATAGTTTTTTAATTTATAGTAAAGTGAAGGGCACGGTTGGGAGTTTTGTTCTTGAATTCTTTTCAAAGAAATAATTTCTTTGTAGTGTTTAAGTGTGATATTATAAGTTCACTGCCAAAAACACAGTACTCTCTGAGATGAATCATCTGTGCAATAATGCACTTGCTTCTTAACTGTTCGAGAAGAAATGCAGGACATATCCTGCTATCATAGGGAATATCCTCGGTGATCAGAAACAAGCAATATGCACGTGAGATTTTTTTTTTTGTTTGGTTGGTTTGTTTTGGTTTTGTTTGGTTTTCTTTTGTTTGCTTTTGTTTTGTTTTGTGCGTGTGTTTCGCTCATTGGTTGGTTTGGTTTGGTTTGGTTTTGGGGGGGTTATTATTTTGTGGTTTTGTTTTTGTGGCTTTTTATTTTTATTTCTGGGTTGGTTTGGTTTTGTTGTGTTTGGTTCTTTTTAAACTACTGAGCAGCTAGAGCTGCTTATGGAAAAAGGGAACACCAGGCATCATACAGCTTCACCATCAGTTATCACTAGAAGATCTACTAATGTTCTAGACACTCATTTCCCTTTTCTCTGGGCTCTCTCTCCACTAATGCAACATTAATAATCTCTACACCAACTTTCTCATCTCCTGCAAGTACCTTCAGGCTCGTTGCTGTTTCTTCTAGGAGACCTGTATACCAAACTATCGATTCGAGACTTTGCTAAAAAAATCCTTATGTGGCCCATCTCTTAATTTAAGCAGTGAATTGGACTGGAGCACCTAAATCCTTTTGCAAATACTACCACCAGTCTTTTCATCATAAAAAAAAAATTGATTTGATAGATGTTAATCCTACTGTAAAGCATTTTCCTGGTCATGCAAATAGTCCCACATCTGGCTGGCACATTTTGCGCAGTGAAAATGCAAACATTTGCACACAACCCCACTGTACTACTGCAGGCATAGTAGTCTCTAGAGAGCTCAAACACTAGAAAATATTAAATATCTCAGTTCATCCTCCAGAAGGTTCACACCATTTCTACATCCCCTACCTCCTTCCCTTGCACCACATCTTCTACGACTGTCTTCTCTTGAGTCTTGCCCCAGTCTCATCAGCACACAAATCACTCATACATCTTTGCACCTCCTGATTTCCAATGTCTACATAGGTGCTGTCCCCCTATACCAGTCAACATATCAGATGAATCAGGGCTGTATTAGTTAAATATAATACATGAAAAGGAACAGTGGTGGCTCAGATGTTAATGTTTTCTCATAGCTCTATTATTTTTTTCTGGCATGACATTTGACAAAGCTTTCTTCATGAACTCAGAAGAAAAAGTGCCCTTTAGAATAGGGTTTTATTAACTTATAACAACAACATTATACAAGTATAATTACTCATGTTTTTAATCCTAATTTTGCAAATCCTGTTTAAGTGCATGACACAGCCATTAATTACAAACAGACTAGTGGCATCCTATGCAATTAATCTTTTTTAAAAAGTTACACTTATAAGGAAGGTCTGCATAAGATTCCATTCCGTGTGGGTGGGGATGCTGTCAGAGGAAATATTCCTGAGTGGCCACCTCACTTCAGTCTCCCGGTTCTACTCTGCTTTTATCACTCATGAGTGGAAAAGGAATTCTCTGCATCAAATCTTCCTGACAGCTGTGCTCAGCATTTCTGACTGAGTAGATCTGGATTACTCAACCATCGTAATCCATGAGATTTAGTGACATGACAGATTGGACAGCAAAGACTGTTGGTGAGCTACATCTGGGAGATGTCTTGATACACTGGACTAAATCCCTGAACTGGGCTAAATTGTGTTTGGTGCAGGAACTAACAGTGATGAAAAAATGGCTTTACATCATAATTGCAGCAAGCTGATCCTGAGGTCAGCCTGGCAAATGGAGTGGTCTCTCTGGCCAGCATCTGGCCAGACCTCAATTGTGTTGAGTTAGAGATTATTTTGTCCTAGTAACCTTAGCCGGATAAAACTATAATTTCTTTGAAGAGAGATTTTTTTGTTTACTTTTTTTTTTTTTAAACCCACGATAATTCACTTGGCTTAAAGAAAACTGAGACACAGATGAGCAACTGGGTGACGTACAACAGAGCCTCAGTCGGAATAATCAACAGTCTCTTTATGGCAGTACTAGCTACATAAAGTCAGCACTTATCCCTCTGAGGGAGTACAAGGGAAATAAATATGCATCAGTGATACAACAGATTCATCCTTTTTGTCATGTTATTTTGTAAATCAAGCTGCAACCAAGCTTAAACCTTGCAAACTACTTCAGTTGCTAAGGAGATCAGCAAATAATTAAGAAAAAACGCAATGATAAGCAGCAGTGCCTATTAGAGTATCGGTAACAGTCTCCAAGCAATGAATCTCCAGATCCTACGAAAGTTTAGTCGCCCAGCGTAGGATCCTCACCGCCTCCAAAATTTATCTGATGGTCTAAACTTCAGAGAAACCCCCTTGCCTATGATGTGGGGGGCTCCTGCCAGTCTCCCGACAAGGTCCGCCCGCTACAGCCCCCCGATTCCTACCGAGAGTCGGCAGAGGGCAAAGTTTCGGTGAGTCTGGCGGCCGGGCAGGCAAAGCCGGCATCGGACCGAGGGCACTCAGGAATTTCGAAGGGTCTCTGACTGACTTCCCTGGGCAGGCTCAGCCACTGACGCTCCGCTCCATGGCGCAGGTAGGGGCTCGGTCTCTCCCGCCCGCTGCCGGGCTGCGCTCGCCACCGGCTCCGGTGGCCTCTCTCAGCCCCGGCTCCTGCCTCTCTGTACCCTGTCCCACACCATATCCCGTCTACCGGGAGATGTCTGCTCCGCCACCCCGCCGGGCAGCGTTACCTGGAGCTCCCGGTGACCACTTCATGTCCGAGGAGCACGATGCCGGCCCCGCCGCCGCCTCCAGCCGCAGCCCCGCATGCTGCGCTCCGCTCGGCTCCGGGGGAATCTGGGGGCCCCAAGAGCACGGCAGCGGCTCGGCTGCGCTCCCCCGCGGGCGCAGGCAGCGCTGGCCCGCTGCCCTCGGGAACGGAGCTGAGGCCCGAAGCTCGGTACCGGCAGCGGGTGAGGAGGGAAGGCAGCAGACTCCCGGTCACAGTGGCGACGGGGGTTTTATCGCCTCCTGCCTCCGCCTTCCCGGTCTCCCCCGCCGCGCAGCGCCGGACCCTACGCCGCTTCAACCCGACGCGCTCCAGTGGGGTTTCCGCGGCAGCGGGACGGAGTCATCGGTGTCCCGGGGGAGGAGCGCACCCGCTGCCCCCGCTCCGCCCCTCGCCTCCCCGGGGGCTGCCCGCCGCTCCGCCCCGCTCCGCTCCCCTCCGACAGCGGCCCTCAGCCGCTCTGACCCCGCCGACGACGGGTGGGTTGCGCCGCTCGGGTGGGCTCAGCTCCTCCGGTGCACACCAGCCCCGAGACTAGCCTGCAGCTCCTCGGATCCTGGGCGGGGGGCAGGCAGCCTGGCTCTGCAGCCACCGGGGGAGCACCGTTTTCGGAGGAGGGGACGCTTGCAGAAGACGCGGCCCCCGTTAAAATACATCAAAACTCCCCGTAAGGGGCGTATAAATTTAAAAGGCATCGTTAGCTCTGGAAAACCGTCCTCCGGTTCATTAAATGATAAAAACCCACGGAGCCTATGTAGTAAGCTGAGCTTTGACGAAAGCAGAGGAGTCTATGAAATGATACAAGTGGTTATCTAAAATTGATTGCTCTATACCGGGATTCTCTTGACCATGGAATCTGTGCGAGAGCTGCTGGAAATGAGGAAGTGTGACCAGATCAGGAAGAGGCAAAGCTGCATCTGAAAGCCCATGAACACACTTCCCTCTTTTTCACACTGATTTTAGCCTCCAGCAGTGAAGTTTCTCACTACATTTCCACCACAATTTAGAGACTGAAACCCAGGCTAGTTGATTAAATAACAGAGATTGTGAATTTACTGTCATTCAAATACAGTTTATAGAACAGTTCTCGGCAAACGGGCTTGCTCATTAATGCTGCTACAAATCACACTTCCAAAAGCAAAGTGATTTTTAATATGAGGATTCATGGCTTCATATAAAGCTCAAGGGTTCCATCTTGTCCTAAAATTCAAGCTGCAGGCAAACTAAAATTCTTTAGTGTGGTACAAGGTATATGTTACGTATGATTCAATACAGATCTGGTGAGATATAGGTGATACTGCTATTGATTTCAAAGCCTTTTAAGCATTATCTTATCCTAAAAATGCAAGTTTTTAGTCATCATTCTTATTTTGTGCTGAATTTGTGCATTTCTGTGCAGTTGGACTATACAGCACTGAAGTAATTTTAATCTCCAGGTTATTGATTTAGCATTGATTTGTTTTCAGACTGTCCATAGGAATATTCATTTGTTTAAAGAAGCTTTTTGTCTTCATGTAGACTAAACCATTAAACTTTTGTGGTGACCTCGATGTTACCAATTATTGGGTGAAATTTAAGTTGGTCACATAGCCAATACAGTCTGACAAGGATGGTAGTCACTTTTTTAGTTTCTTTCCCCTACTATCAAGACTGAAATTGTTGAGCCTGCATTCTTCTTAAAGACCTTCTTATGGAATAAAAATTCCTTCTGTGGTAGCAAATATAGTAGCTGTCTATTTTCATTTTTGTACACACTTTCATTGAACTAAATTAGTTTTAAAATACTAACAATTTTAATTGCAGTTTGTTCAGACCTCAGTAAGTGTGGAGCACTTGTAGGTGCAAAGTAACAGTACTGCTTGTAGCTAAGTTATTTAGATTACAGTCACAAGAGCTGGACATAGTGACATTGCCTTGTGGAAGGTAGGATCCACATCAAAGGGAAGTCTAATACTTAAGGTAATAAGAATTTTGTTTTCCAATTCTATTTTTCTTGGTAATACTGACTGGGATTTGCTTTTTATGTTAGAGATCTCAGGGCCCAGATGCACAAGAAATTGATGGGAGTGGTGATGATCCTTACATGAGATGCTCAGCTTACAGAGAGAGGCCATCTGCCAATAGACTTTGCAGGGAAATCACAATCAAGAGGATGGTCTGAAAGGAATTCAGAACAACAGGAGTCTTGTAAGTCTGAAAACAGCTGGTTGTAAGCCCAGCAATTTTTTGTTCCCAGAAAAAGGTTTTGAGAGTTGACAGGTGCATGGCATGATGCAGTCTAATTCATTGTGCTATTTCACAACATAAAGGTGCTTTTGTCACTTGAAGATTGCTTTTTAAAATCTAGTTTGGATAAGAGCAATTAGTAATTAGTTTTCTTCTACCAAATAGTACTGATGTGAAAACAGTACCTATCCAAAATCTTTGTTGATCATACATGGACACAAGCTGTGTGAAGCTCACAGTGCATTAATTAGGATGTGAAACCTCTCTTTTGATAATCTGTACAAATGTAAGGTTTCTGGCATCACCAGTAGAGATTTTTATTACAGAGAATTGCTGATAGCTGTCTGCTTCTTCCAAAACCATCAGGATCCTGCCTGTGTTTCCCTGCCCCTCTACCAAACTATCTATTAGAGTGAAAGCTTTTCAGTTCTTGTTTTCACATCCTGTGCAGTGCCAGACAGACTGATAGGGCTTGATAAGGTCTTTTAATAACAATATTTCCCACGTGATCTTGAAAGCCCCCACAAATACAGAAATGCCTCTAGTATCTTCAAAATTAAATCTATTTAGTAAAATGGAAATTTTATTGCAGTTGTGTGATTAAATTGATTATTAAAAGACTTTTTTCAAAAGCTATTTGTCTACAGGAATTTATAATACCTTCATGAGCATGTAGTGTAACTACTGCCCTGGGGACTAATTAGGAGGGGGGTACTGGAAGAGAAAAATATCTTGTGCCTCTCCTCTTATGCTCTGTTTCTGGCAAGGGCATGATTTTCCTGCCATAGTGCTCATGCAGGAGGCAGGACTTCCAGGTTCCAGTTTAAAGTCTGGCTATATACATTATAGCCATTAGATAGCACACAGTAAAAAGGGTCAGAGTCATCTTCCTTTCTGTGACTCCTGTCTCTCCATCCTGAATTAATTCTGGTTCAGTGTAAGTCCGGTCTGGGCATTAGGGTATTTCAGTGAGCTGGGAGAAAGGGACTGCTGTCCCTCTGCATTTCACTCACAAGATCCACTCTATTGACAAGCAGCAAATCAAGGAGAACATCTTTCCAAGTCCACTCCCTTAGGACCTGTTCCAGAAAGCTGCCATTCAGTTTTTCAGGAATCTTCTGGCCCAGGTTGTACCAGCCGTGTGATGCTCCCAGTTAATTTCTGGCAAATTGAAACCCCCCATAAGGACAAGGGCAGTTGACTTGGAAGTGTCTCTTAGTTCCTCAAAGAATAATTTGTTGGGGCTATCATCCTGGCTTGGGAGGTCTATAGCAGACTCCCACAATGACATCCACATTATTTGTTTGCCCCTTGATTCTTACCCAGAGGCTCTCAACGGTGCCAGTGCCAGCTGCGAGCTCCGTAAATTCTAACCCTTCTATTACATACAGCACCACCCCTCTCCCTCTTCTGCCTTTCCTATCCCTCCTGAAGAGCCTCTAAATGTCCAGCAGGGCACTCCAGTCACAGGATTCATCTCACCAGGTTTAACTTACAACAGTTACGTCAAATTTCTGGGACTGGGCCAAAGCTTGAAGCTCCTCTTTTGTTCCTCACGCTATGTGCATTAGTGTAGAAACATTTCAGGTGTGGTACATTGTAGCCAACACCTCCTGAGGCAGATTGAGCATTTTCTCAAGTTTTGGCACCCCATCCCATCACTCATCACTGATGAGCCTGGTTTTGTTCCTTTCCCTCTTCCAAGCTAGTGTAGAGCTCTGTCAACAAGCCCCACCAGAGCCTGTGATAGAACTCTTTTTCCCTCTGAGATAGGTGTATCCTGTCAGGTGTCAGTAGACCAGGTGTCGAATAGATCATCCCATGGTCAAAAACCCCAAAATTTTTCTGAGTACACAAACTTCAGAGCCACTCATTGCCCTGATGGATCTGCCTATTCCTATCAATATTATTCCCCATTACTGGAAGAATCAAGGAAATCACTGCCTGTGCTCCTGATTGATCCCTTTACCAGTCATCCCAGGGCTCTGAAGTCTATTGGTTGACTTCAGACTTCTCTTTGTTACTTGTTCACTGCTAGTTTGAGCAACCAGTAGCAGATAGAAATCAGAGGGCCTTACTAGACTGGAGAGTTTTCCGGTAATGTCCCTTATCTGAGCCCCTGGGAGACAGCAGACTTCCCTGTGAGTTGAATCTGGTCTGCTATCAGGCCCTCTGCTCCCCTTAGTGGGGCATCTCCTATTACAACTAACCTCTTTTCCTGTTTACAGAGGAGGTCTTGGTGCAGGGTACAGCTGGTGTTGTTTCAGGAGGCCCCACTACCCCAGAAAGGCTTTCATCCACCTTGTCAGAGCCTGTAGTAGGAGGTACCAGTCCTACTTGTCGAATTCTGAGAAGGAACCTTACTCCTGGTACGTGCAGTTACTTCTCTTGCTTCCAACCTTCATCTTTAACAGACCCTTGACTAACTGTCCTTTGGCTAATCACCCTGCAGGGCTTTGAGTCCACCTGCTTCTCCACTGCAATGGAGATTCAAGACTCCCGAGAGTCCTGAGACTGTAGTGTCTCTGAAAATGATCTCTCTTTTGCTCATTTGCTCGAACATTACGAAGCCTGTTTACTTCTTCCTGTAGTTCCTTCACCTGGCGACACAGTTCTTCAACCACAGCACACCTTCTGCAAAATAAATGTTTGTCTGCCCCAGCCTCACAAAGGGCATCCTGGCAACCTGTGACCTGGAAAGCTGTGTCTACTATCAGCAGGTCTGTCTGTCTGGAGGCCTCTGACATGGCTGGTTCAGTGACTCCTGCAGCTACAGGGGATTGAGCTCTACAGTGTGTCAACAGCATAAGTGAGGAAGTGTAAACTAGTATGCTAATAAGACATGGACTGCAAGGGCGTCTTTGCTCTTCCTTATGAGATATTGAATCTGTTTTCTGCCTCCCGTATATTGGCCACTCCCGTATGGTCAGAGAGGATCCCTTCCTGCTTGTCCTGCCTGTGTGAACTGCCCTGCGAACTGCTGTGTCACACCCTCACTGAAGTACCACAACCCTGCTTGCCTGTTCCTATTCGCTGTGCTCTGGGTCGCTTGTGCTCCCTGCAAACATTTAA